ATTTATTTATTTAAATGTTTATGGATTAAAGCAATAACTAATAAATTAATTATTCATTTTTATCTGAAGCTTGCGGCTTTAGCTCTTGATGCGCGTCAGAAGTAAAAGCTGCTGATTAAAGTGGCCTCTCTCGAAACAAGCAGATCGAGTGGCGGCGGTTTGGTGCCAAAAATGCCTGCTGGTGATTCACGGCGTAAATGATTTCAAGTGGCGCGAGAGATGCAAAGGCCGGCGAGAAAGTTCGCAGATGGATGGATCGCGAGAAAGAGCGGCCTGTCTCCTGCACAACGCCTATATATGCAATGAAAGAAAAGTCGATGGCCTGTGGATCAATCGGCAGATTCAGTTTCTCTCGCTCGCAGCGTGCGTTCACGTCGTCCACCGCACGGGGAAATCTCATTTCTCGCCGAGACTAAAGCATTTTCAAATTCTCTTTCGCGCGCGCTGAATGCCATTTTCAGGCCTTTGTTGATTTTCGTCGCATTAGGCGCGAGAACAGTCTGGCCGGCGTCACTTAACAATTGATTGTAATTGCGATTGGAAGAGTCGTCGTTGCATTTGACGATTGCTGATGCGGAGATAAAATAGTTGCGCCGCCTTTTCATTTCCCCGTCTGTCAGTGGAGCAGAAGTGCTGATTAATTATGCGCCTGATCCAAGATCGTTTTGATTGCATGATGAGCGTGAAGACTTATCTTTAATCGATTTGCAAATTGATTTTATCCAGAATTAATTTCACATGTGGCCCAATTTATTATGTCCTGCTTCTGATGATGCCCATATATTTTGGTACTATAAATTGTAATTGAAGTATCTATACTATTTATATACTATTATATTTTTTAATATTATTGTTGAGTTAAATTATATGAATTTGGATAAATAAATATGATCTAAGCATTTTTTAAGTTATGTTTTTCTCTTCCTCAAAATGCTAGATTTTGGCTGAAGAAAAAATATATTCCGGATTTTGTAGACGGAACTGATTGTGAACTGGCATTTTGCTTCATTTGATTGCATTCCTCCGCTGTTTGGTAAATTTTGAACTTGACAAAAAAATACTATTATTTTCAGAGTGCTAAATTTTTGTTGACAAAAACATATATTGGGCGTTATTAGAAATTAATTAAATTTTTTATAATATTAATTTAATTGATAATTAAAAATTAAACTTTTTTAGTGATTCTTGAAATGAATTCATATTTTAGTTTCAAAACATGCTTATTAACGTATCACCGGGCATTCTCTGCCCAAATACATCATCCATAGTTAAATTTCCTTCTGCGTCAGATTGAATTGGTTTTCAATCAAATTTTTCAAATGATTGGTTTTTATAATTTATTGTTAAAGAAAAAATGGTTTAAATGTACTTGCAATTAGATTATTTCAAAGAAAAAAAATTATCAAATAACACGCCGCTGTCGCTGTCAGCATGAATGACGTTGAATGCCAAGTAATAAAATCAAATGACGAGAGCAACAAAAAGAGAGCTCTGTCCGCGTACATTGATTTCTCCGTCGTCGTCAATCTTTTCAGCCGCTATATTAAAATACACACGGTGTAAAATACAAACATAATTTCTCTCGCTGGCAGTCATCACGACCGGAGGAATAATAGAGATGATTTTTGCATTTCGCGCGCGGTGCAAGAAGTGGCAGGCCACGATTGTGATTGCAGGTGGCCATAAAACGACTCGCGCACTTCACTTTGATTTGACTAACCCCTTGAGGTGAACGCGCACAAAGCTCACGCGGAGTCGCGAGAGAGTGAAACCTGAACTGCTCCGGCCGCTTCCCTTTTTTATTCGCGCAAACAGGATAATAAAATGATCGCGCTCAACTGTGGCTATATACATTTTTGGGTGGGTTTGCGTTCGTTTTCTCTCTTGAAAGTGCCATTTGCTGAGCTCTCGGAAAGTATACTGGAGATCAGCCTCATGTGCGACGGGAAATACGATTATTTGCATAACCTGTTCAAGATGCGACTTGAAAATGCTGCGAAAATGAAAAGTTTTCAAGGAGAAGTCCATTTTACACTTGGCGTATTAAATTTGGACTAATTCTATAATTTTTTTGTAATATTTATTACACGTGTTCTTATTCACAATAGCAACATATTTTTTCTTGTGTGATAATTTTACGTTTATAAAAATTTCTAATTAAAAATTCAAACAGACAAATAATTTACTCTTAGCAGGAAATGATAAAAAAATCACCCAATTAAAAAAAAAATCAGGTTAAAATAAATATAAGAAGCGTGTAGCTCTCTATAGACCTGAGTTAACTTTTCAACATAAATTAAATAGGTTCTTTTCAAGTCTGTAGTGTATGGCAATTGAAGTTTTATTAGTTATATACTTTAATATTTGAAATTTAATTTAACGTCTACTACTTCCAATTAAATTATTCATCAAAGTAAAAATTATCAAAAAATGTAATCTTTTACTATTTTTTTGCTTTTTAATAATAAATTAACTGAAATTAATTATTGTTTGATAGAGGCCAATATATCCTTAGTTTTAAGTGTAATTTAAGAATAAAAAACACAATAAAATATAAAATTTTAAACTAGACAATTGCAAGTTCTTTCAATGAGACATTGCACATTCAAAATAATGAAGTGAATAAAAATGTGTCGATGGAGAATGCAATTAAGTCCCAGTTCCAAGTAGATCATCAATCAAATCGAATCTAATCAACTTTGATTAGTTGCATTAACTCATCGCACAATGACACACAATTTATTCTCTGCTCTCATTGTCAGGCAGCGACAAAAAACAAGAGCCCGAATTCGTTTTGTTAAATCTTTCTTTTTTTTTATTTATGCATAGAGAGAAACGACGTGGCGATCACGTCCGGGTGTTGAAATGATTTTATTCATTTATTTCAAGGGCGGGACATAAAAGTAAAATAAGGCGATTATGCACAAAGGAATGGTTGAATTCCTGGTCTCATTGTGTGTGAGAAGCGACACGACTTTCGGCGACAATCATCCCATGCTGTATGGGAAAGGAAAAAAGGAGGAGCACTTCTTTTTATATACACAGCTGCTTTTCTCTTATGCTATTAGGCGTTGATGATATGGTTCCCTCGCGTTTGTTTGGGCACTCGCGTACACCTAATTTTGACATCCATGCGACGTGCATCAAAGGTGAAATGGAACGCGCTGCACTTTCCAAAATCAAAAGCTTGGGATTACGAACAGGATATGGAAACTGATCTGTGTGTGGTTTGTGCCATAAATTATGCATTTCATTAAATATATATATATTTTTTTTATTATTCAAGCAGAAAATTCATTACATTACGATTAATAATGATCACCATCCTTTTCACAGCTTTACCAAAAATATCTATGAATTTATTTTCGTGCAGATTGTATATTTTAGTTTTTTATAGAATTCAATACAATAATTCTATAAATGTAGGTATATTTATTTATTTTTAATATCTAAAAGTTGGTCTATATAGGCAGAAAAAGTTGCTTCCAAGCTTTGAGATTATTTTATTATCAAATTATTTAATTTATTTTCCTAGGTGCCGTAAGAATTTAGTAACGCCCTGCTTCAAATGAATAAATAATTGACCAAATAGGATTTAAAATAAAATATTTATGTATATATGCTATGTTATGCCAAGGATAGTTTTCACATTTTCCACGCTTTCTTTTAATTAATTTCATGATATTTAAAGAATAATTTAACTAAAATTGTAAATTGTAAAAGTTTACTTTATGAGGTGATTTTTTTCATTGAATTTGGATTCTAAGCATTTATAACGAGCCTCTTCAAACACACCGCATTCGCTCTGGAGATTTACACACTCGGCTGTAAAACCGCCAATAAAGCAGCAATGTCAATTAACGAGAGCGATTGATTGTGCTCACTCGTTCGTGTACATGCCGTAATACACAATAATCGGTGACGTCACGTGGACGAACACTCAGGTGGATTCTCGCGGTGTGTCGTAAGAAGTTGACCTTCTGCTCGCCGGCAATAAGGGCGTGAACACGTGAGTAGTGCGGAGCAGAAAAACCAAACGCCGGACCGATTCTCGAGGGTGTGGTCGGCAAACATTTATTTATTCGTACTCTCGGGCACAGCACGTATGGCAGATGAGAGCGTGTGCGTTGTATCAAAGGAACCATGCACATGGCCGTACACACCTTCGAAAGCCCAAACAGGCCGAAAGAACGAACGACGTGCAAAAATTATCACTCTCGATTTTCTCGCCATTAGAGAGGACGCGTTGTTTAATCTGCTGGAAACTCGTTTTTAGCATTTCGCGACGCTGAAGAGACAGATCTGTATTTTTTTTCCAGGCTTAAATATTTTTTTGGTATGTCATTCAGTGTTAGATATAAAATGTTGCTTCTCCGGTAGAATTTATAAAAATTTTCTTGCTTTTTATTATTCTCATAAATTTTTTAAGTTTATTAAATAAAAAGATTCAAGTGCAGGAAGTACCTAAAAAATTTGAGCCAAGAATGCGCACATATAAAGCGTTTTCGCAGAATGGTGCAAATTAAGCCTCTGCACAGAAGTCCCCCTTTTCTGCAGCCGCTGCTCTCATCTCTGCATGTGAACTTTGTAATTTGAATCTGCCAAGTGGGATATAAATATTAGACGGATGGAACTGGAGATGTGAAAAGCGATTATGGAGTGACGTCATTTTATCAAATGCGCTGCCGGTCAGGCTGCGCGCAACATGCGTATTAAATTCACGTGACCCTTATTCTAAATTGACGTTTGGTTTAAGAGGCGCCTTATAGTGAGCGGCCAACAACTTCCGATAATTTTGTGTACAAGTATTAATTTAATAATATACGATCCACAAATTTATGGTATTATATTAACGAAAAATAAAATTGAATGAAACTGATGGAATAAAATTAATTATTTTTGCTTTCATTATTTATTGTTAGCTTGATAGAAGCTTAAAAGATTAAATTTGGTTTTTTAATGCCACATTATATTAGAATTGGTTGCATTTATTTTGATCACAAAAAAATGATCAAATAATAAAATAGTATGAATTTAAGATTTTATTAGCATCTAGATGATTTTAACAAGAATTTGGTTAGTTCTTTAAAAATTGCTTATAATTCGCTCTAGCACAGATATTCGTATTTAATTTACTAATTAATTTTTAATTAGAAAAAGTTGTAAATCTCACAAAAAAATAAGTTAAAGACATAGATGTGGAATCTTTAACAAATTGGAATTTTAGAAGCTGTTTAAATTAAATATTATATAAAATATATTTAGAATTATTTTAAAAATCATGAAACTTTAAATAATGGAAAATTAAAATTGAACTCATGATAAAGTTAATGTTAAAAGTAAACGGTCAAATTCTAAGCATCAGGCTCTTGGCGGATTTCCTCATACATTTCGTTCTGGGCCTCATTTTTTGTAGGGACAGTCATGGCATCATCATATGTGACCTCTGCTCCCGTTATAGGCTTCTTGGCGATCTGCACATTTCCATGCTGACCCAGAAAGATCCTTCCAAAGTTTTTCCAGTTTATCACGCAAGTGAGGAAATTCAATACAAGGGCAGTACACAAAACGGTAAAGCCTGCAAATCGTTCTATATGAGCCGCGTCCCATTCATTCGTGCTATTTTCATGATGGAGTTCATTATCAGCTTTCTTTTGAGTAGTTGGAGAAAGTGCTGGAAAAGTGGCATGTGAAGAATAACGTCCTGGATTGTAATCGAGCCGCAACCCATCAGGACAAAAGTCTATTGAATTGCCTGGTCCTTAAAAATTTAAAATATAATTTATATTTAGGCGTGCAAAAATTTTGTTAATTAGCAATCATTACCTCTGAGAGGGCAATTCATGTTCAGAGCGCTATTACCAAGGGTTGTGTTGAGAGACACGGAGCAACTGCAATTACGTTCCAGAAATTTTTTATATTTTAATGAAAACTGATCGCAAATTTCATCATTTTCAACGTCTTGATAGCAGAACGTGTAATCCAGCCAACTCTTGTTCACTTGAAACAAAATGAACATAATTATTCACCACTACGCTTTTGAAGCCCCAAGCACTCTCTAACCCAAGGTTATTCATTCCTACCATTACTTCCGATGAGCAATCGCCAACTCAGTGGTTCGGAAATCCAACTTTTTAAGTCAATGCAGTTGCAGTGAACCAGAAGATAAAATAAAGCCACCAAAACTGTCAAATTTGGTTCAAAATCCATGATCTTTTCTCGGATTTGCAAGCAATGGGTATTGTACGTTGGTTGAGGCGTGTTACAAGGAACTTTTTAATGAAAATTTGAGCAGATTGTCATTTCCGGAGACTGTTCCCCTCACCAACAGCAATTTCCTCGATAAGGGATATGATTATAAAAAAATAAAAACCAGCTAAATCGGTATCAACTTAACCAACTGGTTCAAATATTAACTCCGATAATAAAAATAATCCGAGCAATATAAAATAAATTTTTGATTAATTAATAATTATTAATAAATTACATAACATCTTGGTAATTAATATAAAGCTATTTTGGTGTTGTAAATATTATATAAAATAATTTTTCGAACGCTTTGTCTTAAAATAAAAAGTAAGAATAATTATTTCCTCAGCGTCCTGTAAAAAAACCCAGTGGACGGTAATTGAATATAAATAGCTTATTAATCTCTTTTTATTGCACAAAATATTAAGCTAAATTTTACAAATACGCAACAATAGTGTGGAAGTTATTTATTGCAATTTAGAATGCTGGGAAATATTTATTTAAAATAATATGAATATATTTTTAATGATACATTTTGACTCAAAATACTATTGGTTTTTCAGGAAAGAAAATATCTGATAGTTAATTAATTTGATAATTAGCACCCATAACCCATAAAATAACAAAAGTAATAATTAACAAGTGATTTTATCAAACATGAAATTCATTTCCAATTCTATAAATTCAAAGAATATTGTATATTAGCAAATTTGGGCGCCGTGAATAATCGTGAACAGAAAGAACCCGCGCAATGAGTTCACTCGGCGATCTCGAGCAACGATTATTCATTGCGAGTGCGATTAATTAAGAGCAGATGAATTGAAGCCGCCCGCTCGCCGAAATGCAATGGCGAGCGGCGGCGTCGGGGTCGATGGCCACCAGATAAGAGTCGAGTTTCGCCAGCAGATTAGGCCGAGTGGCGAGTGCATCACAACTCGCATTATGGATATGGGACAGACATTGTGAAACACTCAATTATGTCAAACACACGGGTTGCCTGCGCCGATCCGCGCGTTCCTAGGGCCAAATAAAATGCTGTAATGACGACTCGCCTCGCATGTGTGTTTGTGCCGATTGAGTCGGTGCCAATTATTGTGCGGTGCTGCTGTGTTTGCACTTTAAACCGCACATAATTATGCAGACGAAAAAAAATTTCAACGCTGATTGTTGCAAAAAATTAATATATTGTCTAGTCACGTTGCAGCATTTTTTGAGTAAGTTAAATAAAAAAAAAAATTATAATAATAAATAAATAAATATAAAAAAAATGAAAAATCAATAATTTTCTAGGAAAAAAGGAACAAACTTATGTTTTTAGTTAACCAAATATCCATTCCAGTTGTTTAAAATTTTCAATGATGATCTACACCGAAGAAAAATTTAATGAAAAATTTCATGAGAACAATGTAAATCAATTTGAACCAATCTAAATGCTTTCTGATTTCATTCTGCCACCATGCTTGAGGTGCTATGAACTTGGTTTGGTGAAATTTTCATCATTATTATCAAATAAATTTTGAGAAAAAAAGATTTTAGAAAATTCCCGTTAAGTAGCAATGTTAATTTTCAAAAACTGACTTCTCATAGTTCATAAAATTTTTATTTTTATATTCCCTTTGGAAAAAAAACATCTACATATATAAATAAAATAATATCAGTTAGTTCTTTTAGCCCCTTGTAGCAGTAGAAAAATATTTAAAATTGCTCCTCCCAAATTATTGCATGTACCACAAAATATTTAATTTTATAACTAAAAAACAATGACGGCTATCAATAAAAAATGTATATCTTTTTACAAAACAGACGAGTATTTTTTCCAATCAGGGCAGCAACTCAAAGGACAAGCCCTATATATAACCACATCTGCAGTGGCGGCCAGAGTGGTGATAAGAGCGACCAGACGCAACCACATTATTTATTTCATTTACAGGCTGTTTGTCAGCGCGCCATACAAATGTGTGCCCGATTTGATCCCGCGGCGATAACCCCTGGTGCTGATGCAAACGGTGCCGGGGTTACAAAGTTACGGTACGGGACATTTGCTGACCCCCGTCACAAAGACGGCCACTGAAGCCGAAGTAGCTCCTATGGCGCGTCACCCGCTTCTTTTTTCGCTCGCATTTGACTCGCAAATTGCAAACTCTGCCCCTTTTATTCGCTCTCGCGCCGTGCTCAATAAAATTTTGTGTGGCGAAAGTGAGTGTTGCCGTTAATGGGCAAATAAAAATGTTATAAAATCCACATAAAAGGGCCGTAATTATGAAACTTCTACATTACCACAAGTTTCATGTATAAAAAATATGTGTTATTTACAAAATTAGATATTAATTGAAAAAAAATTCCAATAGTATTATTAATTTTTTTTTAATAAATACAGCAAAATATTCTAAACTTTCCATGTATTTGATAATTTTTTTACATTGCATTTGAAATTTGACTCGTCGGCACTGCGCCACCGAACCATAAGGCCCTGTGACTGATGCTCCGCAGGACAGATCTAAATTGCAAATTGCACTCTCTCATGTGACTGGCTGTCTTGATCTAAAATATTACACGGTCGCCGGCAGCAGCACCAGAAGCGAGAGAGGGTTTTGCTGCCTATGTGTATATCTAACTGGCGGAGTGACAGAGTGTGATGCTGCTGCAAACGACGCACTACTTCGTCCGTCCTTCGTATACATATTATACATACATACGTGAATTTATGCATGCAGAAATGAAGTGTCAGACAGGCAGATAGTGACCGACCGATCAAGAGGCAATAAGTCAGCGGGACGCACACATGCAAGCGCAGAGAGATGCGTCCGATTGCGCGATTATCTCTCTGTCACTTGTCAACGCCATCGGCCCTACTCAGCATTGACATTCCTCAATGTGCATTATAGTTGTAGTCTTTGAATAAATGCAATATTATTAACAATGCATAGATCAAATTTTCAACCACTTTACTGAGAAACGTGGAATTTGTATTATATACATTTATATTTAATTAAAAATTATATACTGGTTTATTTAAGATTCCACTTGATTAAAACACGACCAGATTGGCTTGCTTTTTATCAATCATGAATCATCGCCTCACTACAATCATTGTTATGATTTCCTTCTATGATTTAATTTTATTAAATAATGAAAAAAATGCTAAAGTATTCATTTTGCAATAAGTTGCTGCGCTAAAAAAATTATTCAAAAAGAAATATATATTTTATTTATTTATTTATTTATCTAAAACTGAAAATTCAAGGGAAATGCTCTTTTAATACTACAAAAAAGTGAAAGTGTAAAAACCAAAATAGTTTGGATAAAATTGTACAATTTTTGTAGTTTCTCTTTGATAATAATTCTGTAGCTTGAATTAATTCAAATTTAATTCAATACTACAGGAGAAGAACAAAATTTGTATTTGAAATAATTAATTTAAATTATTAAATGCTATACAATTTTAAATTTTTCAAATTATTTAACATAATTATGAGAGCTTCTAAGACCACAAGTTTTATAATTATTTAATTTATTTATAAAGAATTTCAATTTGAACTGAGCTTTTTCTTTTCAAAGGAAAGTCAACTTTTACTTCTTGATTGAAATCGAGAGTTAGCAAATAATTATGCGAGTCGTCACCGTCTGGGTCGTAATGGCTCAACAGCAGTTTGAGTCTCGACATTGGTATATAGCCGGTTGCAAAAAGTGCGCCGTCTGCCGTTGTGCATTGCACACGTACGAAGTGAGTGAACTTTTGAGGAGAACTCGAGAGAGGCGCGTCCATGTAGTTATTGTCTACCGGTCGTCTGTCTATCCTACGGCCTATTAATTTTACCGCAACTCTTCTCGCTCTCCGCGGCAGCGAAAGTGCTTTTTTGAAAAGAGTCTTTGCCGCCGCGAGATGGATTGGTGCACATATTTTTTTTTTTACCAGGAGTGTGTTTTTTTTTAAATATAATGTTTGTATAATATATGCTCGGCGCAATCGTCAGTTGTGGGGGAGGACCCTCATAATTGTTAAATTGCCTTTTGCCAGTTAATTATCTCGTATCTCATTTTAAAATGCACGCCTCTTGACTCAGTCAGCAAGCTCGCCTGCAACATTTCGTGATTGCATTGTTTTCAGCTGCGTAAACTCGCTCGTTGCTACTTCGATAGAAAATTTAAATTATACTGAAAAGCTTTTTAACAGTTTATTATGTGAATTAAAAATTCATAATTACTGTTTAGGTTTGTAAAACACGAATAAAATGGTTTGGCAAAATGAAATTTAATTCTAAAAATCTTTGTTGATTAGAATTTAAAGTCAGCTTTTCCTTGATGGGTTTTGTGAATTGTTTATTGTTTAAGAAAAACAATATCCTGCATTTTCTTAAACAATAAACAATCAAATAAACCATCAAGGAAAAGCTGACTTAAAATTAAATCACCTTGAATCAACCCTCAATCATGAAATTCTGCTACAAAATCTAAATATCTACTTTAATATATCATTTTGATTAATAAAAACTTTCAATTATTGCAGTTTTAATTTTTTTCCGTTTCAGGCAAATAGTTTTTTTTCTATATAAATCCTAAAACAAACAAAAAAGGACAAGAAAATTTCAAAAATATTTTAATTTATTCCAATCAACTTCTCCTTTTCTATTTTGTTGCTGCAAAATACAATTTTATCACCCCCACTAAACTCTCTAATAATGTGATTTAGAATGATTAAATTTTTAATTTGCAAATTATTTCCTCATCAAAATAATTTTGCAATGCCATGTGGACCAGATTATACTATAATACAGGCTGACTAGCATGTGTATATTCAAATTGCGCAAGGCCACATGCGAATTATCGCGAATTGTCACGCGGCGTTAATTTTTTGCGAGCTTCCTGCTCGGCGGATTGAACTATGTACAAGCATAGCACCTGAATATTCAACACGTCCATATACACGCGAGCGAGCTCTCACAGGAACGAGAAACAAATTTCGACAACGCGCGTACCTCATGCATGTAGGCATTTCGACTAGCAAAGCACCTCGGTGAAATTGGCTGTCGCTTGTGTATAAATGTCTCTCTCATTAATATCGCCCTGTGCAAGCTCATGTCGTTGCCCAACTCTGTCGCAGCGAAACAAACGCGTGTGCAGCAAG